GTTTGAAGTTATGTATTCATTCTATAAACTCCTGTCCTAACCATCCCTCACCTTCACTCTTAACTCCCCTATCCATAATTTCTTCTCATCTCAGCAGGCTGTCCCGGTAATTAATTGCACTTTACTTTTAACAACAGTCACTTGAACAAAAGTTAAACAAGAAAATCCCCTAAATCACAAAGAAGGTACAACCCTGCAAAGCAATCAAGACTATGTACTGATATTTAGGGTGTCAGCATACAACAGAGAGTGGAATAGCTAGTAATTCAGAAATAGGACATCATCAGCTGGCTCTGTCTTTTGCTTTTCTTTTCCCTCAGGCAAAAAAAAATTCTAGAAATGTAATTTATATAACAAAATCGTTAAACACATATACTCTAAGACACACACACATACACACACACTCCTAATAATCTTTGACTCAGATGTTTGAAAATCATGAAATATGCAAGCTTTGTTTCATTTAACTTAGATGCTTTAGTTATATATTGGTAAGTCAAACTATAATCAGGCACTACTTCACCTTTAGCTAAAATGCTAAAGTAGTAGCATATTACATCTCTTCTTTCTGCCCCTCCTTATCTTTTTCTTCTCTCCCTCCCCTTCTTTTTCACACACAAATACAGTCTGACCCAAGCTGGCCTTGAATTCTCAATCGTGCTTCAGTGCTGGGAATACAGCACTTACTAATTTAACACAGCACTAATTTCTTTTTTTTTTTTTTTTTTTAATTTAATTTTATTTTATTTGAGAACATACTGTACAGAGGGGTTACAATTACATGGGCAGGATAATGCATACATTTCTTACCAAGCATTGCAGCCTCCTCCTTTGTTTACCCTTCACCTCCCTTCCCAGCCTCCCCCCTCCCTCCCACCCAATCATACCCCCCCTCCCCCCCCCCCCCCCCCCCCCCCCCCCCGACATTGTAAAGCTGGTTTTGACATGACATTTTGTACTTCTCATTGTTGCAACAGGTCCACCTGAATCCTTAAACGACTTGTTTGTCCCCATCTCCTCCACATGTTATACTGACATCAAATATAGTGAAAGCGGGAGTTACACTGTGGGGGAGGGACATACAAAGCAACAAAGAGATAATATTATAAATGCGTTAGAAACACAACAGCACTAATTTCTTTAACGCATAAGTGCTAATAACTATGAAAATAATAAATCCATTATGGGCTGGGAATGTGACTTAGTGGTAGAGTGCTTGCCTAGCATGCATGAAGCCCTGGTGTAGATTCTCAGTACCACATACATAGAAAAAGCCAGAAGTGACACTGTGGCTCAAGTGGTAGAGTGCTAGCCCTAAGCAAAAGAAGCTCAGGGACAGTGCCCAGGCCCTGCTTTCAAGCTCCAGGACTGGAAAAAAAAAGGTAATAATAAATACTATCAATCATTGAGTGTTACGTTACATATATTCAGACACTTTGAGTTCATGCAATCCTTTAAAACAAATGGTCCTCTAAGCTATTTCTACCTTACAGATGAAAACAACAACAACAACAACAACAACAACAAGGTCTAATGAAGTTAGAAAGTGTGTTCTTGCCCTGCAGGTTGGCAAGGTGAAAAAAGGTAGTAGAGATTTGAAGTCTGTGCTTTAAATAACCACACTCTATATACCTTTGTGATAAATCATTTTCTCACTCAAAAGCTTTGAACTGAAAGTTGGAACTTGGTTTTTAGTTACCAGCTGAAAACATGCAGGAATTAATAGTGGCCTCTATAAACAGGCTGAAAATCCTGGTGGAGGGAGAGTGGAAGGGAAGGAGAAAAGAAAGATAAAGAAAAGCTAGCAGTGTGGCTCAAGTGATAGAGCCTGCAGGATTAAGGCCCTGAGTTCAAACCCAGGTAACTGTCTAAATAAATAAGCACACAACAAAAATAGGGTCATTTCTGGGGGGTCAACTGTTATACACTGGACAAATTTCCTCTCAGAAAAAAGTTTCTGTTTTTAATCTCATGCCACTAAACACCAGTTTAATCTCAACCCTGAGAAACACCATTCTACTCCATTCCCCAAAATCAAGAACTCAAACTCTGTACAGCAATTTAACTGGTAGCACATTTGTAAATGTGGCTCTGACAAAACACAAATACTGTACATTATAGCAAATCAGTCTTTATCAGTCTGTATGATTACTGTTAGGAGCCCAATTCTGTATGTAGTATTAGCTTAAAAGCACAGATTCAGAATTAGGGTTGTGGCTCAGTGTTAAGAGCATTTGCCTGCCTACCAGATAAGTGGACCTGGGTTCAATCTTTAACACAGAAGAAAAACAAAAGAGCAAAGTATAAAAGCAACTAAAAATACATTTAAAAAATTCCAGCCAGGGGCCGGTGGCTCATGTCTATACTAGCTACTCAGAAGGCTGAGATGTGAGAATCATGGATCAAAGCCAGCTCAAGCAGGAAAGTCACGAGACTATCTCTAATGAGCAAAAAGCCCAGAAGTGGAACTGTGGTTCAAGTGGTAGAATATTAGTCATAAGGAACGAGAGAAAAAAAAAAAAAAAAAGCTCAGGGACAGTGCCCTGGACCTGAGTCTCAGGACTAGCACATACAAATAGTCAAAATCCAAAGTAGATCAGTAGTGTGTAAAAACCAAACACTCAGAAACTAAAACAAAAATCAACAGTTCCTAGTATGGTCTTCTAAATTTACTTTATTCCTATCAGGTCAAACTCTTAGAAATATTAAACCCTAAAATAACTACTATTGATGTTTATAAGTCTGGTTCAAATTTCATGACAGCAAAATGGTATTATCTAAGCAGCAGGTATTTTCTTATAGAAAATTTTAGTTTTTTAGTCACTTAAGATACTTTGGTTTCATAGGCAGGGATTCATGACATCTCAAACTTCATGAGATATGTTGACTGGATACATAAAAACCCTGTTCATACAATGCTTTTCTTCATCAAACATGACCAGAAACGCATTAAGAAAGTTAGAAAAAAACATTTCCAAGATCCAAAGAAAGGTGTATCAAACATATCTTGCTTATTGTGCCACATAATCAAAGAACATCAGTTGCTTTTTCTCTCTGTTTATGAGAGCCCTTGCAATCCACCACTACTTTGGTTTCCTTAGTCCTTACCTCAGTTTATTTTTTGTTCTCCACTCATGTAATAGGATATATCTTTTGGGGATTTCCTGTTCTGCTTTTAGATTTTTCGGCTGTTCCTGGGGGCCCCATGTCTTACCCTCATATGGCAATAAACTTTGTGTGCTACAGAGACCAGTTTCTTCTTTGTGCCTCCTCAGTAGAGATCTGGAAACAATCACTGAGTAGTATATATGTGAGTACACAGTGGCTCCAAACCCTGGCCCCTAACTATTCAAAAATAGTTACCTCCAGGAAGTCTATCTTTAGGAAGTATAATCAGGAAAGTAAAAGACAACAGCCACTACAATCACCTCTGTGATCCCAACTCTTTGCATCTCAATGCTATCAGCTTTGGTTATAAACAGTAGTGAGATAAGACGAGGTTAAAAGCTAAAGAAACAAAGCTAAAAAAGATGGCAAATTTTAATTCTAGGGATAGGTCATTAAGTGCTAGCAATAGACCCTTTACTGGGGATTCAATGACTTCAACACTAGGTCAAAAATCAATACTAAGGCTAATTTAACAAAATACTTATGAATACACAACCGAGACTTTTTTAAGTCATACATATGAATAGCTAGAGTTTGGCCATGCCTTTATTCAAAGATTTAAAGCTTGTTCTTATTTTCATACTGCAAATCTTCACAGATGACAAGTGGTGTTTAAAATTAATTAATGTTATTTATTCCTATTACCAATATTTATTAGTTTCCCTGGGGGTAACTATAAAGAGGGGCTAGGCTACAGTTCTAACCAAAGGCCACAGGACCAGCTTAATCATAAACCTAGCCAAACGAACCTGAATTTTCTTCCAACAGTTCCTGCCTTTTGTTTCAACCAGCCGCAGTACACCTTCAAGGTTAACTGCCGTCTCCTCCAGCAACAGACCATCCCACTCCAAAGGATGAGGTACTGATTCTCGCTAGAAGGCTATTTACTTAGCTACACGGGTTCATAGGAAAAACATGCTGTTATTCATTGACTGCCAAGCAAGATGGGCTTCATTTCTACCCACACCAGGCCAACTGCAGGAATCCAACACACCCACCTCACCGCGGAACACGAGGACAGCTTTTCCTAAAGTTCCGAGGAGAAGAAATGGGGTGAACAGCAGAGGCAAAACGAAAACTCAAACCTAAAAACACAAACAAACGCCCACAGCCTTCCGAACCTGGATTCTAACCAGGAATCGGTAGAAATGAGAAGGTACAAAGGGTGAGGAGAGAGGGGCGGTTGGGCGACTTCTCCCTCCTCCGGAGTAGGCAAAGTCCTGAGGCCAGGCAGCTCGGACCCCCGCGCCCCGGAGCCCGGAGGGCCGGGGGGATCCGCGGGAGCGAGGCCGGGCATCAAGGCGTGGGGGCGGGGAGGAGGCGGAGGAGGGGGCCCGTCTCGCCTTGAGAAGGTGCCGGCTTACGTCGGGTCCGTGGATTTTTGCTTCGCCCCCTCCCTCCTTTTACACACTTACACACACCCCAAACACTAACGCTCGTCTTATCGTGTGGAAAAATCTAGCTCTGTCCCAGCCCAGCGAGCAGGGCAGGTGTAGGGAGGGGTGCCTCCCCGGGCCACAAAATGCGGCAGTGGGGAGAACGGGAACCCGTCAGCCCTCCGCGGAGGCCGAGGCGCCGGGGAGCGGGCAGCGGCGGCAGGGGAGCCGCCGCCGAGGAGCTGGGGTCGGGCGGGGGACAATGAACTGCTGCGAGGACCCCGAAGGATGCGGAGCCGACTCCGCGGGGAATCACCGTGGGGGAGGAGACGGCCCCGCCCCCTCGGGGACCGGCTCGGCGGCCGTCAGAACGAAGGCGGGAGGGTATCGCCGCTCGCGCCCCGGCTATTTTTCTCTCGAAACCCCGGTCTTGTAGCCACCGCCAGCGGCTCCTACCTTTCCGTGGTTCTCGGGGATCCGCTCCCAAGCCGCCTCCGCCAACCCGCTCCCCATCCACAGCCTCTCGAGGCCCCGCCCCCTCAGCCGCCGGCGGCAGCATTGACATTCACCAGGGCCAATCATTGACTCGTCTCGGCAGTGCCGGCACCAATCCGTACCGACAGGAGGCGGGGCTTCTCCAATGTCATTCAGGCTCCTCCCGGAGCCTCAGGATCCCTTTTGTTTGGAGAGAGCCAGGCTGGGATTGAGTTTGCGTCACTTCCGGAGGAAGCGCCCTCCTGCGGCCGAGGCTCGAAGGTGGGCTTGCACACTTCACCCAGGCTCTGCAACTTTCCGTCTCCTTGGAGGTTATGGGCCCGGGCGTGTGGTGCGAGGCTTATTGACTTCATAAGCTTAGGAATGGCGGACTTCTGGTGACCTGCCTGACTAGGATTTTTATTAAAAAGTGCCAATAAATAAAGTGAGTTTGGGTGTCTGCTTTAGACGGAGCTGCTGGGAGCTTGGTAACCTGACTTCCTTGCGCCCCCTTTTTCCTGAATCTGCTTGTAGGTGTGGGGCGGGAAGCAAAGGCGCAAATGGAGCAGCTCCTGGAGACATCCACTGTGCATTTCCTGCGGAGAGGGGGAGGCCTGCCCTGCAGCCCCAGGGGCAGAAACAGAACAGCATCCCCGAGGGCCTAGACCCTGTGAACCTACCCTCCAGGCAGAAATCAAATACTACAGTTGCCAGCCACTGGGGGCTCAGCCCTGTAATCCCACCAGCCCAGGAGGCTGGGGGCTGAGGATCACCGTTTGAAGCCAATCCAGGCTGGAAACTCTGCGAGACTCTTACCTTCAGTTAACCAGCCAAAACCTGGAGATGAGGTATGATTCAAGTGGTAGAGCACCATCCTTGAGTGAAAAAGCGAAGGGAGAGCACTAGGTCCTGAGTTCAAGACCCAGTACACACACACACACACACACACACACACACACACACACACATTTGTAACCTGGACCTCCAGTAGCTATTTAGCTTCTTCGGAGGATCCCAATCTGAGGATCACAGTTCCAAGCTAGGTTGGGCAGGAAAGTCTTATCTCCAATTAAACACCAAAAAAATTAGCAGCGGAGCTATGGTTCAAATGGTAGAGCACTAGCCTTGAGAGAAAAAATAAAAACCTGAGTTCAAGTCTCAGAAGTGGCACATTAAAGAATTTACAAATTTGGGCTGGGAATGTGGCTTAGTGGTAGCGTGCTTGCCTCACACACTTGAAGCCGTGGGTTCAATTCCTCAGTACCCCATACGCAGAAAAAGCCAGAAGTGGCTCTGTCGCTCAAGTGATAGAGTGCTGTATTAAGCAAAAGAAGCTCAAGGACAGTGTTCAGGCCCTGAGTTCAAGCCCCAGGACTGGCACCCACAAAATTAACAAATTTGTCTACATTATGCGTGCCAGTTGAGGGACTTTTGCGGGGAGCTTGACTCCATTAACATGTGGGACTCCTATGTTTGTAAAAGAACAGTTGGATAAAAGAAATGCCTTCCTGACAATTTTTTGGGTGATAGCAAACAGTAGCCAGGACCAAATAATGCAGAATAAAGATGTATCTCAAGCTGGATCCTTACCTGAGACCAGCGCTTTTGGTTTCTTTTCCCACAGGCTGTGCTTCCCTAAATTCACAAACACCACATGGCTTTTAAATAAAATATGATAAATACATGGAGGGCAAATATTTATAATGCACACGTAATGTGTTACTTTTTTTTTTTTTTTTGCCAGTCCTGGGGCTTGAACTCAGGGCCTGGACACTGTCCTTGAGCTTCTTTTGATTAAGGCTAGCACTCTACCACTTGAGCCATAGCACCACTTGCAGCTTTTTCTGTTTATGTGGTGCTGAGGAATTGAACCCAGGGCTTCATGCATGCTAGGCAAGCACTCCACCACTAAGACAAATTCCCAGCCCCATGTATTACTTTGAATACATTAATCCCAATCTTCACAGACATTACTAGCAAGATAGTATTTGTCAGGCCGCTGGAGGGAAAAGGCTGCAGAGAAAAGCCACTTCCAACTGAGGAAGGCCACCTCCTTATTAAAAACATCTGACTCACCCATTCTCAAGAAGGCTCAAACTGGCAAAACAAGCTACATGCTAATAGTACCCCTCCCCACCCCCATTAAAAGTTCTGCTTTTACCCCACCTATAAAAACCCTGCTTGAAGGCTGGGAAGGTTGCTCAGTGGTAGAGTGCTTGCCTTGCATGCATGAGGTCCTGGGTTCCATTCCTCAGCACCACATAAGCAGAAAAAGCCGGAAGCGGCGCTGTGGCTCAAGTGGTAGTGCACTAGCCTTGAGCTGAAGAGCTGAGGGACAGTCCTTAGGCCCAGGGTTCAAGCCCCACAATCACAAAAAAAAAAAAGAAATAAGAAAACCCTGCTTCAATTAAACTTAGCACAACCTCTCTGATCTGGACCAGGGAGTTCACCCATCAGCGTACCCAATGAAATTTTCCTTTACCACCTTTACCTCTTTTTGTGTAGTCTTTTCTTGCCTAAAACCTTACAGTATTAGGACTAGCCCTCACAGAGGCAAACACAGGTCTCAAGGCAGATGCAGTTTACAGGTTGGTGGGAGATGGCAGACCATGTATTTATGGCTTGAAGGCAATAAAGCAGTATTTTTTTTTAAATGTTGCCACTGTATCATGTTGCTTCATATAACAATAGTCTACAGTATGGATTGAAAAATCTATCACACTTTAAAAGAGTCATCAGAATGTCAAATGAAGATAAAGATTCAGAGAAATCAGGTGAAGTCACAGAGTTAGTGTATGTGTATGCACATGTGTAGTTCCAAGTCAGATCCCGATGGCTTAGGCCTATAACCTAGCTACTCAGAATGCTGGGAACGGAAAATCATGATTTGAAGCCAGCTCAGGCAGACAAATCGGAGAGATTCTTAGCTCCAATTAACCTGCAGAAAGCTGGAACTGGAGATGTGGCTCAAGTGGTAGCACACCAGCCATTCGTGAAAAAACCTAGTGAGAATGAGAGACCCAGAGTTCAAGCCCAGTATTGGACCCCCTACAAAAAAAAAGCACCTGCCCAACCTACAGCTTCAAACCCCCACAATATGCTGCTCATATCACATACTGGCTCTCAAAAGGAGGATGAGCTAGAAAAGGGACATGGGTAGCTATAAAACCCGCCTTAAGAAAATGACTTGTGTTGGGGCTGGGAAGGTGGCTCAGTGGTAGAGCGCTTGCCTTGCGTGCCTGAGGCCCTGGGTTCGATTCCTCAGCACCACATAAGCAAAAAGGAAAAAAGCCGGAAGTGGCGCTGTGGCTCAAGTGGTAGAGCGCTAGCCTTGAGCTGAACTGCTGAGGGACAGCGCCCAGGCCCAGAGTTCAGGCCCCATGACCGGACCCCCCCCCCCCAAAAAAAAAGAAAATGTCTTGTGGCCTGGGAATGTGGCTTAGTGGTAGAGTGCTTGCTTTGCATGCATGAAGCCCTGGGTGTGATTCCTCAGTACCACATAAACAGAAAAAGCTGGAGATGGCTCAGTGATTCAAGTGGTAGAGTCCTAGTCTTGCTCAAGGATAGTGCCCAGAACGTACATTCAAGCCCCAGGACTGTGAAAGAAAGGAAGAAAGGAAGGAAGGAAGGAAAGAAGGAAGGAAGGAAGGAAAGAGCTAGTTCCATGTCCATGACTCACCCTTTGACTGTGGGCTTCAGAGGGTCATTTCTACAGTATGTATGAAGGATAGGGAGACTGGGGTGCTAAGGTGCTCCACAGCAGCTCACATGGTTTGGAGTAATGACATAGGACACAGAACTCAAGGTAGGGCTTCGTGAGACCATATAAAAGAGTTTCACAATAGGTGCTTATTATAAACTAGCAACACAGAATCTCTTAAATGACTAAAAACACACAATGAGTGCTGGAAAGGCCCACCAACTTGTAAAACTCCCATTTCCTCTTCCTCCCTTTTGCTTTGGCTTTGGGTGTGCAATGAGGAAGTGCCTCATTGCCTGACAATGAGGCAGATGTGGGACAACAGGCTATTTTTCTGCTGGCATGTGAGTCACTCTAAGGTTTATTCTAGTGAATCAGCTTCTCCCTCCTCCACTTCCCTCCCTTCTAGAGCTCTTAATCCACCACCCCACATTGTACTCCAAAGCTGACCTGGTGAGTGCCATACCCAGTGGCCTACTTCCTTTATGGCTTCCTTAGGCAACTTATCTGACTCCCCAGGTTCTCTTCTGCCCATTTCTGAGCTAGTTGGGAAGCATTCGACAGGCATGACATCATCCTAACTGTAGGATTCAGATTCCAGAGAGTGTTTGTTTTCCTTTGAATGTGTCACCCCCAAAGGTAATGAGCAAGCTGCTAACCTTCAGGCTATAGCAGTGGAGGCCAGTTCTGGGGTCCTGTCATTCTTCAATTTATAAAACTTGTAAATCAATTTAGAGTTTTGACACATTGAAGTAAAATATGAGCTCGTAAGAGTAAATACATATGCATATGTATATGTATAATTTGCACTAGTCTTGAGGCTTGAACTCAGGACCTAGGAGCTGTCCCTGAGCTGTTTTGCCCAAAGGTAGCCTTCGACCACTTGAACCACAGCCCCACTTCCTGCTTATTGGTAGTTCATGGGAGATAAGAGTTTTACAGACTTTATTGTCCTAGCTGGCTTTGAACTGCAAATCTTAGATCTCAGCAGGTAAAATAGGTAAGATTACAGGTGTGAGGGAGCCTCCAGAGCCTGGACTGTTCTTTAGCTTTTTCACTCAGGGCTGAGCCACAGCTCTACTTCCAGCTTCTTATTAGTTAATTGGATGCAAGAATCTCATGTATTTTCTTCTTGAGGATGGTATCCTCAGAGCTCAGCTTCTTGAGTAGCTAGAATTATAGTTGTGAGCCATCAGTGCCTATCTTCTCTGTAATTTTAAAAACACAAAACTTGTGCTCCAGCCTTCTGAGTAGCTGGGTTTATAGGTACCTACCACCATGCTAAGTGACATCATCTTTACTATTACATCAGCAAAGATCCTATTTCCATATAATTCCACATTACAAGGTCA